CTACCCCCCCCCACCAGGGGGGGGGGGGGGGGGGGGGGGGGCGTCAGGCCGATACGATTGGGCGGGTGTTGCGGAAGCGGGTTGTTGCATGGGAGAGGAAATCACCGGCGCTAAACACACACACACAAGAGCAACATAGGGGGTGGCTGTGCAACCTGCCCCTTCCACGCCAACAAAAACGGCGGCAAAAAAGACACAACAGCAAACAAGAAAAAGAGACTAGAGCGAGAGCCGTAGCGCATCGTACGCATCTCTCAGATCACCAGCAACAACAACGACAGAATTCGTCGATAGTGAGATAGACAGATCATCGTCGCAGCAGCGTATCGCACTCACCTCCTCCTTCTTCCCGTCCACGAGCAACGCCTCCACCTCTTCATGACTACCCGTGGCCGCCTCGGACCCCACACCCCCCCCCACGCCTTCCACCACCGCTCCCCTGGGCGGTCTATCGCCGCCCAACCGCCCAGGAACGCCCCCGAAAGGACCGACTCCCGCCCCCGTGGCAGGCTCCTGCTGCTGCTGCTGCGGCGCCTGTGCCGTGTCCGCCGAAAACCTACCGCCAAGGCCGGGTGTGGTACGCCCACCCCCCGTCCTGAAAAAGTGCCCCTGCGGAGCCCCCCCCATGCCGGGGAACGCCAGGGCGGCATCCCGCGCGCCGCCACCGGCAGCAGCGGCGAGGGCGGGGGTAGCGCCGCTCTTCTCAACGGATGCTTCTGCTGCTGCTGCTGCCGCCGCCGTCTTTCGTCGGGCGTGAGCGTCCTTGAGCAGCTTGACGATGGCGGATTCCGGTGACTTGGGGTCCGCCGCTCCGGCGTCGCTCGTCAGGCAGCCCTTATTTCGGTGTGTGGGGTGTGGAGGCGGGTACAGCACAGTAGGAAGCAAAAAATAATGGGGGGTTAGGGATGGGTGGGGGGGATGGGAGGGCAGATGGTAAATTATAAATAATGGAAAAGCCATAAGCAACCGGTGTTTCAGCTAGGATGGGGGCCATGCCGCAGCAAAAACAAGGCATCAAGGTGCGTTGCGGGGTAGAATCGTACTTTTATGAATGATACATCGAAGCGGGAGAACGTCTGGCCCGGAGCCAACCGAAGAGCTCGGTGTCGGCGAGAGTGTCAACGAGCACGAACAATTAATTATTGTTCGACCCTCCCCTCCCCCAAGCACCGTTACAGCACCAGCACACACAAACCTCTGGGGTATTGGAGGTACCACCCTGCTACGCATGCTGTAGCCACGTGCTAAACTGGCGGGCCCAACAACGACGGTAGTACTTACGATTCTACGCTGCAAAAAGAAAAACTGATACAGTACGGCACACACAAAAAAAAACAGCAACGTCTTCCGGTGGCCGCAAAATAACGCACCTTGAACTCCAACGCTAGCCCTGCCACGCTCCACAACAGCCTCTTCCCCTCCGCCTCCGCTCCCGCCTCGTCGACCTCAGCGGCGGCGGCCGTGGCCCGCTTCTCGACGTACTCCCGCAGCTTATCTACGGGCGCGCTGGAGGCCGGTCCCGGGAAGGCTGCGGCGTCGCACACGACAGTCTCCGGGCTGGCCACGTCCTTCAGCGACCAAACCTGCGGGCAAGGGGCGGGCGCGTGCGCGCACGCACGACGCGGGGACGAAGTCGGGTGTGTTTGCTGCTGTCATCATCGCGAGCGGATCACCGCTCGCGCAGATGAAAACTTTGATTGTGACGTTTCGCACCACCAATCGGCGTTATCTGCATGCGATAACTGCACGCGGACCGCTGAAAAAAAAAGTTCAACCAAGTTATTGTTCGCAAATCTGTGTCGTGTGCAGTAGATACAGACGGAAGGATCAGGGTCGAGAAGGGCTAGCTCTCGCACGGAGGCTCAAGTCCTTTGACCGGCCGTGTGTGCCGTGAGCAGACGGAGGATGCTATCGATGTTGCGGGGCCCCTGTGGGACATAGTTTATAGCATGCTGCAGTCTCAGGTGACAGATGCTGGCGGCGCAGGGCTTCTCTCTCTCATACTTTGGACGTTTCCGACGAAATTTTGATGAGACGATCTCGAGCACGCCAGAACTTGTCGTTGACCCCGCGACACACATCGAGCACTCTTTTCTCAGCCCTGACCATAAATGAACAACAGCAATAATCTGCGGCCAACCCGAACAACCAACCAACCTCGCTCTCCCTTGTCGTGTACCAATATCTTCGTAGAAACTGAACACGCAATCGCAGAAAAAGAAGTTCGAGATATGTAGTACCCCAATTCAAAGGGATGTGCTGATTACAGTCAGTGGCCAGAGAAACCAGGGCGGGATAACTGGGCTGACGTTGGTTGAGTCTCGCTTATGCCTAATACATTGCAAGATACATATGTTGGCTTACATTGACCGGACCCTTGCGGAGAGCAGGCCCGTCGTCTGGCGAAGGCACCACCCCCGGGGCCGGCGCCAGCCTTATCTTCCGCCGCGGGTGCATCGTCACAAGCTTCCCGCCGAACCCGAACGATGCAACCACGCCCGCCGGCGTCACGCCCTCTTCACGCGGAGCGCCGGTCACCGCTGAGGGCGTCATGCCTACGGTGGCGGCGGTGGCGGCGGCGGCCGCCAGGCCGGTGGAGCCGGCCCATGCCCCGCCCCCGCGGAACCCCTTAGCGCCGCCGAACCGGCTGGTAGAGAGCGGCTTCGACGGGCCAGGGGGTGCCGTCGTTGACGCCAGCTTCTCAGGAACGCCTCCTCCACCCGACGGGGCCCCTCTCTCCCACGGCGGCCGCGCCGACGGCCTCGGGACAACAGGCGTCTCTCCGAAAGCTTGGCCCTCGCCCCCACCGCAGTCGTCGGCGCCGAACTCGTCGCTCCCCGGCCCGAAAAACGCCGAAGGGATACCCCCCGCCTCCCGCGACTGGGAGGAGGCCTTCTCAGCCGCCGCCGACGGTGACGCCGGTCTGTCAAAGCCGGTCCCGCCCTTCGTCGGCCAGCGCTTGGGCTCTGCAAGCGGCTGCTTCAGCGGCGAAGACCCCCACGGGTTGGGCAGGGACGGAGCCGGCGCCTCCGGCGGCGGCCCCTGGGAGAACATGCCCGCGTCGCCGCCGCCGCCGTCGCCGCCCGCCGCGTCGGACGCCCCCGCTCCCGAGGAAAATAGCTCGTCGGCGGCGCGTGCGGGAGCTTCGGCGGCGAAGAGATCGGCGGCGCCGGCGGGACCGTTTCCGTCCGCCTGGTCATCATCTGCGGGGCCGAAGAGGGATGCCTCGTCTCCGTTACGGCGGCTTCGGGTGAGCGGGGAGGACGTGTTCACGAAGGGAGATGGCCCCGCGGCGACGGCTTCCACTGCCGCCGCCGTAGCAGGCTGCTGCTGCTGCCCGAAAACGTCCGAGGAAAGAGGTGGTGGCCTGAGCGGGTCGCCGCTGGAGGCGCCGGCGGTCGCATCAAAGGTCGATGCGGTGTGCCCCATGTCGCCGTCGACTCCCGCGTCCACGGCGCCGGTGTCGGGTAAATCGCTGGTTGACGGCGCGCCCTGCTCGTCTTCTTCTTCGTGAGGGGGGCCCGCTTCCGACAGGCCCGCCACCCACCCCTGATCGGTGGCTGCAGAAGACGTGGGAGGTGAGACGACGACCCGCTTGGGAGGCGCTTGCGTGCCGGCGGGGGCATCTTGAGACCCGCTAGATTGCTGCCGCGCACCTTCTTCGGGTTCCCGGCTTGGAGGCTCCGCAGTGGTGTTTTGTTCGGACGTGGCCTGGCTCGGGGGAGGGTGGCCGACGTCATTACCGGAAGCGGTATCGCCGGCAGCAGACCCCGACGGATCGATACCAACGGCATCGGCCGCCTGGTCTCCGAAGGATGCCACGGTCGACTCCGCCGGGGCCGCGGACGGCATCCCCATCGCGCGGCCAAGCCTAGCGACGCCCTCCGACCCGCCTTTCCGCCTAGGAGCGCCGCCACGCGGCGGCGGCGGCGGCGGCAACGACGCCAGAGAACCGTCAGCGCTG